GGAATTGCTTCCACTTCACGCCTGTTTTCTGTGTGGTCGTGGTATTACACCGGGCGAGCCGACCCATTTGTGCGTAGATGTTAAAGCGGGCTCTACCACTTGTAAAATATTGCTTTGAGGAAGTTTTTATCTAAGCACCACGTTGGAATATTAGCTCTAACATTTTGATGTTTTTGGTGATGATGATGACATATTGATGATGAATATTGTAATTGTATTTCCCTTATCCCGTGAATGTAACTATAAAATACCTCCCGTGATGTTATAGTTGTCTTGTTAAATCGTTCTTTAGTTGTAAGCAAAAAGTTTGTGCCGAGAGTCCACTAATACTTTTTTTTATTAACAATGGTATTCTCTTTTACTTAATAATTACTTTCTCTCATACACGTGGATACTCTTAGATTTAAAACTAGATTACTTTTGCTAGAAAGTCTAATGAGCACATTATCTGGTGCCTAAAAGTGAAAGGTCGTAAGTTCAAACTCATTATGTCAGATAAATAAAAGGCCTTTGAAATATACACAAGAGTTTGTTATACTTTTCAACGTATATCTTACATATAAAACGCTTTTATATCTATACTAGTTGTTGACTGCGACTTCGCCCGCGTGAAGTTACACAATAATAGATATAGCCTATGTTATGTACAGATTAACTACCTTTGTAACTTTTAGAATTTCACAATTTTAAAAATCTGCCCAGTAGTTTTTACGTGGATCGTATACGTATAAAAATCCAAAAATATAAATCTTTACTCTTCATTATCTTAGTACAGATTAGCACTAAATATAATTAATTTAAGTTTCGTCTTTATAGCTTAAAATACTTTTGGAATTCCCTTATAAACATTTTATTTCTAACACTCTACCCAATAGTGAAGAAAATATTGTGGAGCAACTTGTACTTTGTCTGTGATGAAATCTAAGATATGTGTGAAGTTAACCAACTGCTGCGTGGTTGACTATAGCCTAGTCACCTCTAACTTAGAGAAGGCTTTAAGTCTTTTCGCCTTTTAAATGCATTTACCTATTTATAGTTGGTTTTATATATTTACTAGCTTTGCTCGCGACTCCGTCCGCGTGGAATTAAAAATAATCAAAAGTAGCCTATGTGTTTTAGACTATCCTATACATCTGTACCAAATTTCACCGAAATCCGTTGAGCCGTTTAGGCTACAAACTCTAACAAACATCCATCCGTCCATCTATCCATCCATCCATCTAAACTTTCGCATTTATAATATTAGTAAGATAAGATATAAGTTAAAATAAGAAATAAGTGAAATTGACTAGAAATTGGCATGCATTAACATTAACAATTTTGCGATAAATCTAGATTCAAAAGCTCATTGTTGTAATTCCTAGACTATAATGTTTACAGTAATAAATCTCAAGAATCATGTTACCTTTAGGCAAGACAGTATAAAGGGCTGATATAAACGCAATGGGCCGAGAAGGCGTAGTTTAATCGCTCGTTATATTGTTAGGAGCGCCATTCAACGGTGCGTAGTCATTTCTCACAATGAGCCGGGATCGTTGGCGGCGCCCGCTCCGGCGTGTGTCCACCATTAAGCAGTTAGCGACTGTATCGCCCGAGAGAAGCCCTGTCATCCTTTTTATAATGCACCACTAATTTCAGATGTGTTTGATATGCTTTAGAAGGAAGTTTACACAATAGGAGTGTTACGATGCATATTTGCAGATTTGTGTGGTGTACCAGCTTTATGTAAACAAATATTTGACAATGAATGTTGTGCTTAAGAGTAGCTTCTATGTGTTAGTTGAAAAAATGATGTATTCTGAATTTTGTTTATTTAGTAAGTGGATATGAATGTTAAGTTTGGAGTGCGTTCCTAGACCTCTAAACGTGTTGCTTGTGCCAATGATCCGTACGAAAGTTATGTAGAGTATCTTTTACTTGATTGCCCCAATAAGGTTTACTCGGAACATGATACGTTACACTGAATAAGGTATAACTAGTCGGTTCACACGGATTCGCGTTAATTAATTACTATGATAATTAACTTGTTCTTTTACACTGTCAGATACCAATGTCCTTTCTGTGCTAAGTTGCGTAGACATGTACCGGATATAAATACCTTTCTATGATGATTAATTACTAGTTATTGCCCGCGACTCCGACCTCGTGAAATAAAAAAGTGAGTAGCCTATGTGTTTTTCCAGACTATCCGCTACATCTATATCAAATTTTATCGGGATCCGTTCACCCGATTGGGTTACAAACTCTAAGAAACATCCTTCCATCCATCCAGCCATCCATCTAAACTTTCACATTTATAATATTAGTATGATTTTTGAAGACTATTGTTATCCAATTAGTCATAATTTCGATATATGTATGTGAATTTGATTTTAATCAAGTCTTCTGTATTAATTTTGTATCGTGCAAGGTATGCTTATGTAGGCGAAAGGCATTGTTACTTTCTAATGAGATTTATAGACCGTGACATGTTATTGTTGAAAAATAAATGACCAATAAAATTACACAAAGTGTGTTTGTTCGCTCCAGCACGTCCCCTAATCCGAATATCTGAGACAATGCAACTGTTTTAATTTACAACTCAATCGGTGTGCGCGCGTCGGCGTCCCCTCGCAAGGACCCTCGGCCCCTCGTCTCTTCACACGGGCCCACGTTGCA